TGATGAATCTTTCTCTTGTTAGTCAAGGAATTCAATGTATGATGGTTGGTCCTGCTTTTGTGTTCCGTTTTGGTGTAAAATGTACATTTCAATAAAATTATAATTATAATAATGTGAAAGCCTTTACTCTGAACATGTGTGTCCTGTAGATCCCCACATTCACCACAAACCCACATTCAGGACTGTGCATTTTAAATAATTTAACTACTCAATATTTTAACACAAAACAAAACAAATAATTGTTATTTATCAAGATCTAGCCATTTATGAAATAGCTTTCTTAATAGCTATGTTTTAGTGACGTTCAAGATCATTAAACATGACTTAAATTGTTAGTATAACCTTAAGAAATGAATTGCACATAATAATTCCCACGGAGCTGTGAGCACTTATACATTTATGGGACGCTTTTCCACTCATTCTTCCAGTTCTCCGTTTTCCTCTCTTGAAATCGACCAGCTGTGAAGGTGGGGGCGGGGCTTTTATACGCGAGTAGTGAAAACACTTCCGCGTAGTCTGCTCTCGTGTATCCTCCCTTTCGTCTCCTCCCGCACCCCTCCTCCCTCACCCCTCCTCCGTGTGCATTTCAGCTATAGAGTGGCGAAGTCCCTCCCCTTCCGGTTGAGCCCCATGGGACCTTATTTCGGAAAAGTTATGCATTGAAGTCAATGGAGAGAGAAAGATTATCTTTCGATCCCGTTTGAATTGTGCCACGAATTACACATATGATGTTTGTCAATTTAAAAGATAATTTTGCAAGTCAAAAAAATTAAAATGTGTCGTAAAACTGTGAAGTAACACATTTGTTTGTGTGAAAGGCTCAATGAACTACATCTCTGGTCAACCACACACGTCACCAAGATGGCCGTCACTACTGTCTTGTCAACAAACGATTGACTATCACCACAATGAAACACGTCCTGAAGAATGTCATGCAAAGCCTGCCTTCCTTTGATTCTCTCTGAACTGCCTGGTCGTTTTAATGTTTAATGTCAACCATTTGTGCAGATAGCATGAAGTAGAAAAGATCGCCGATGCTAACGTTAGCGTTAGCATTTCTCCCCCGGAATTAAATGGTGTATTATAGAATGATCACACCGGTGACAGTACTATTCAAAGGGTTCACGAAATATGACTACTACTCTTACTGTTTAACATTTTGGGTTACTTAATGTTACTTCATGTTAAGGCTAATAAAAATGACAAGGCTGTAATGCTAACTAACGTGCTAGCTACTAGCTAGGTAGCGAACTTGATCAAGCCACTCCTGGTCGTTTCATCAGACGGGAAGCAAAAGAACGAGCAAGACCCATTGCTGGTATAATAACAACCTGGTACTAAGCACACAGGCATCTTGTTAAAGTTATCTTATCTTAGCCAGCGCCATATAGATAGATTATATCTATATTGCGCTGATCTTAGGTATCTGAATGGTGGAGGTAAACAATTGTGACATCACTTACGCGACTCTGGGATTTGTAGTCTTTCTAGTTACGTATTTTTCATAGTCTTATATTTCAACAGTTTTACGACAAACTGTGACTTTTTTGACATGGAAATGATTTTTTAAGATTGACAAACATCATATGTGTAATTCATGGCACAATTCAAACGGGATCGAAAGATAAGTTTTCTCTCCCCATTGACTTCAATGCATAACTTTTCCGGAATAAGGTCCCATACCCCGGAAGTAAGTGGGAGGGACTTCGCCACTCTATTGGGAAGTCCTTCAACATGGCGTGTCTTGATCGATTTCCGGGTCAAGTCCCGGGGTCCTTCTCAGGTCGATTAAATGGAATCCTTGCGTCCCTCACTTGCGTCGTTTCCCTGCGTTTAGTCCCTCCCACCAGGGAAGCATGGAGTGACGCAAGGAAACCACGAGAAGCAGGGAAATGAGTTTTAAGAGCAATGGGACGTCCTTTCCTTCGGAGCGTCACGTGAAGCGACGTCCGTTTGTGATGACGCCGCACAGCTGTTCGTCTGACAGCAGCTCTGTCCGCGTTATTTTCACAAACACCCCCTCCTCTGTTAGTACACATTTACTGACACAAACATGTGTATCATCTGTTGTAGACCCAAATACATTAAATAAAATAAGAACTCATTCTCAAAAAAGATAAACGCCATTCTTAAAATGTATAAACGAACAATAGTTGGATTAATATTGATTAGAGTGCACAATAGAAATAAAATAATTCAGAGAAGAAAAAGAGATATGTTATCTATCAAAACCCAGTTAGATTAACATTCATTGCACACTTTGTTTGTGTGGATATGTAGCAAATGAACATGTTAAATAGCACGTAATGACTGACTGAATGGAAATGACAATAAATGAAAATGTAAAACGAAAAAGCGATCATGAAAATGTTTCCAATAAATGAGTAAAATAATTTTTGACCACTTTGTTGTTCATATATATCACATATTTGTAACTGAATTATGCATTAATTGAAACAAAACACAGTATAAACTGAGGAGTGAGTTTCATGTGTTTTCTTCACTCCGCTGGGAAACTGCTCTCATGTCAAGAAGCATCAGATCAGTGCATGCGCTGCATCGTCCAATCAGTGAGCGATACACAGTAAGGGGGCGGGGAGAGTATCTGAGGATTTCACCGGTGGATGGTCTGGTGGTTCTTCGGTTATCGATCCTCCATTATCGCTCCTCGCTCCTCGATCCTCGGTCCTCCGGCAGAAATAAGAGCCATGGGACGCTACTCAAGATGGCGCAGACAAATCAACTTCCGGTGATACCGAGGACCGAGGACCGAGGAAATGAAAATAGTCGACCTGAGAAGGACCCCCGGAGGAGGGGAAGAGAGGAGTCGAGGAGGGGTATTGAGACGAGCTTAAGGAAACCACGAGAAGCAGGGAAATGAGTTTTAAGAGCAATGGGATGTCCTTTCCTCCGGAGCGTCACGTGAAGCGACGTCCGTTTGTGATGACGCTGCACAGCTGATCGTCTGACAGCAGCCAGCTCTGTCCCCGTTGTTTTCACAAACACCCCCGCCTCTGTTAGTACACATTTACTGACACAAACATTTGTATCATCTGTTGTAGACCCAAATACATTAAATAAAATAAGAATTTATTCTCAAAAAAGATAAACGCCATTCTTAAAATGTATAAACGAACAATAGTTGGATTAATATTGATTAGAGTGCACAATAGAAATAAAATAATTCAGAGAAGAAAAAGAGATATGTTATCTATCAAAACCCAGTTAGATTAACATTCATTGGATTGTACACTGTGTTTGTTTGTGTGGATATGTAGCAAATTAACATGTTAAATAGCACTTAATGACTGACTGAATGGAAATGACAATAAATGAAAATGTAAAACGAAAAAAGCGATCATGAAAATGTTTCCAATAAATGAATAAAATGATTTTTGACCACTTTGTTGTTCAGATATATCACATATTTGTAACTAAATGACGCATTCATTGAAACAAAACACAGTATGAACTGAGGAGTGAGTCCCGTGAGTTTCATGTGTTTTCTTCACTCCGCTGGGAAACTGCTCTCATGTCAAGAAGCAACAGATCAGTGCATGCGCTGCATCGTCCAATCAGTGAGCGATACACAGTAAGGGGGCGGGGCGAGTGTCTGAGGATTTCATCGAAGGATGGTCTGGTGGTTCCTCGGTTATAGCTCCTCCGTTATCGCTCCTCGCTCCTCGCTCCTCGGTCCTCCGGCAAAAATAAGGCCATTGGGACGCTACTCAAGATGGCGCAGACAAATCAACTTCCTGTGAGACCGAGACGAGGAGCGAGGAAATGAGAAATAAGAGAAGTGAAACGCAGCCTGGGATGCAGCCCATGTGTTCGGGGTCCGTCGCTTACCAATGACGTCACGCATTGTGATTGGCTGTACGGTAATCGCACGCTGATTGGTGTAACTAGGGGTGCTGACTAGGGTATACCGGGGGTCTGATCAAAGAATGAAGCTGTTAACGTGCTGCTACCATAAACTGGCTGTAGCCCACAAACTGAAGCAGAATGATCTAGGGCTGTCCCGAATACCATTTTTTGGGCTCCGGATATTCGGTAGTAATCATATACAGTCTATGGTAGTAATCAGCAGCGAACCGCTTCAACACGTGTATTTCGGTGTATTCACGGCATTCATTTTGTTATTCTACAGTATTGTTGTTTTATAGTTATTTGTTAATGTAACCCAATTCGTGTTCTTTGAAATTGAAAAGGATATCGCATTGTGTTTGTTACTTTCGTTGCAGTTGTATACGTCTTAAGTGTAATTTGGCTTGGCTTCCTATTTATGGACATGCTTTTATTTTGAAGGAGAGTTAGCGCAGTTGACAGGAAGTTGTTGTTGCTTTGGAAACAACGTGACAGAGATTAACGGAGAAAAGTAATATCTACATATAAAGACGGAGAAAGTAAACGATAACGTTTATGGTTAAGTGTTAGCACCCCCAAAAAAATTCAAACTCAATTTGAAAAAAAACGGGGAAAAAAACTAACAAATGAATATCCGAATAACGAAATTGAAACCCGAAATAGTACTCCAACGAACGAATATTCGGATATTCGGGTACAGTCCACTGTACCCGAATATCCGAATACTATAATAAAGTTATAGTGTAGTGATCACTAATTAACGGGGTTACATAATTCAATCCAGGATCTACAGGTTGGGGGTATTGTTTCCGCACGGACATATATGTTGACGGTACCTCCGGGGTACCTACTGTGTGTGTGTCCCTTTCGCTTTCTCTTCTCTTCTCGGGCTGCGACCCGACAGCATGTGCATTTCTGCTGCTCAATAAAGCCAGATTTGTACCTTCATTGCACCGCCTCCGACTCCCTTCTCTCGGCACTACATTGGTGACCCTGACATAAGTCTCGCGAAGGTTCCGAGACTGAATCTAACGCGGCAAAAAACATACTGTTTTTCTCGAAATGCCGGAGATTTTTGGAGACGTCCGTGGCTGCCACGTGCTCACAGACTGAGGCTCGGTGCGCCCCACGGAATGGCTGAGGACGTCGCTCACCATTCCCGCTTCGTCTCGGCACTGGAAGGCAGCAAGCCTTCCTACTACGAGGAGACGATGCACGACCTGCTAGGTATGGAGGAACCCGACTTCTACCTCATGGGGCTGTTTCTTCGGGACATGCGGCTGCATGTCCAGGCTGCGCTAGCTAACACGGCTAGTGTTGAGCCCCGCGCTTTGGCCGAAGAAGCTTGCCGGTTCTTCCTGGCCGCCCGGCGATTGACCCCTGAGGTGCTTGCCACTGCACGCTGCAGCACCTTCCCTGGTGGGGGCACGCCGCCTAGCAGAGGCTCCGGGGCCGACGACGACGACAGCGACTACCGGCCGTCGAGAACGGCTAGCCACGACTGCTAACGACAGCTAGCCACGACAGCTAACGGCTAGCTGCTACCAACGGCTAACGACGACTGCTAGCAATGGCTGACGACGACTAGCAGCTAGCGGCTAACGACATCCATTGGCTATCGACATCCGACTGTTTTTTTTTGTTTTGTTTTTTGTGGTGCCTGAGAGGAGGTTCGATCAAGTCTGGTCGGCCTCGTGTGGATCCTCTCGCAATTTCGCCCACCTGTTTTTGTTCGTGGACAGGACGACCCTCTTGAGCTTTTTCTGGTGCCTGAGAGGAGGTTCGACCATGTCTGGTCGGCCTCGTGTGGACCCTCTCGCTTTTTCACCACCTCGACGGCGGCTTCGGACGTCGCCCATGCCTTCTCCGGCCCGTGGGTGGCGTGCTTCTGGACCCCGTCTCGCCTCGACTCTACGGTTTCGAACGTCGCCCATGCCTTCATCGGCCCGTGGGTGGCGCACTTCGGGACCCTGTCTGGCCTCTTCCTTCGCCTCGGCAGCAGCTTCGGATGTCGCCCACGCCTTCTTCGGCCCGTGGGTGGCGCGCTCCCGGACCCTGCCTGGCCTCTCCTCTAACCGCGGCTCATGGTTCGGCTCACGGTTCGCCTCGACGGCGGCTTCGGCCGGCGCCCCGTCTGGCCTCTCCCCTGTCCACGGCTCCCTCCTCCCGGGGACACGGCTCCTTCCTCCCGAGGACTTCGTGCCCGCCGCCGCTGTGCCTTCGCCTGCGGCCGGGCAGCGCTCCTCCCTGCTGGGGACCACCGGGATGTTCACGCCTGTCCCCGCGTCGCAACACGGCGACCCTGCTTTCTGCGGCCCCCTGACGACGGCCCGTTCCGGCCCGCCCCCCACCCTCCGGTGGGGATGCCCTTGCCCTCGTTGGGGCCCCTACCCTCTCCTGCGGCCCCCTTCCGACGGCCCGTTCCATGGCCCGGCCCTCGCCGGCGGCCCCGCCCTCCTCGGCCCCTGTGGTGCTTCCTCCCGGACGCGAGGATTGTGTCCATGGTTGAATTCTGGAGGGGCTTGTGTAGCAGTGACGTGCGGTGAGGTTCATGGCTGGTGAGGCACTGACTCTTTCAGAGTCAGATTTACAAATATTATAGCCTATTTTGACCTTAATCGAAATATTCTGTTATTTTCAAAAGCTTTTTTAGTCTGATGCTATGATTAATTTTAAACAGACCGATCAACAAAAGGATACCCAAAATCTAAATATTGGATTGTTCTTTCTAAGTAAGATCCCATTTTCATTACAGTTGTGGTCTTACCTTGACTTGAAGATGAATATAAGTCCATGCTATCCTTCTGGACAACAATCTCTATTACTGTTTTGTAAAAGTCCTCCTTATCTTCCTGTAGTTTCAAAAGTCTAGTTTGTTGTTTGCGGTAGAATAACAGTAGCAACAAGAACCTGTGGGCTCACGTGCGCCCCCTTCAGTGCGGCAGAGGTTATGGCTGCCTCTCCTGGTGCTTTTTTCATTGCCGTTGTACGATGAGACCAGCGAGCCTAAATATCATATATACGTGAAATAAGTTATTTAGAGACTATGGATGGCGAGGATAAATGTAATAAAGGGATCTACAAACATTACATTGGTGACCTACAGTGAGATGGGAACAGGCATGCGCTTAGGGCCCGCTTTCCAGACAGTTTCTGTGGGGTGACGCATTCTGAAGTGAGGCAGAGCTCATCTGTGCCTCACCTCACCCCACAGTAAATGGCTTGAGCGCGCTCACAAAATAAGTGGCCGCGCTAAATTAGTGCCCGCGCTCCAGCAAGTTACTGTGGGCTTACGTGAGGCAGTGCTCGTCCCTGCCTCACTTCTCATCGCTCCCGTAGCGGAGCTCGGCAAATTTGCTGATTTTGACTATAAAATGCGATTGGAATCATACAGAAATCACATTTACACAAGATCAGTGGAGACATTTTATTATTATTATTATTTAGTTTTTCTTTAATTGTTTTTCCGTTACATTGGACTCGAGTATGACAGGTGAGGCTCTGCCTCCCCTGCCTCCACTGACTGCACGTCGCTGTTGTGTAGTGATCACTAATTAACGGGGTTACATAATTCATTCCAGGAACTACAGGTTGGGAGTATTGTTTCCGCACGGACATATATGTTGACGGTACCTCCGGGGTACCTACTGTGGGTGTTTCTCAATCGCGAGTACGCTTGCTTGGTAGCACATGTCTGCCGAGCATCTTGCTTCAGAAGCGAGTCAAGAATACTTCCTGACATTCGGAAAACAAAGAGTGGAACAGGCTAGCAAGTGTGCAGGTGTGCGTCATATGAGAGGCCCCGCCTTACATCTTCCGCCACAGATTTGGGGAAATTGGTCCGTGCGCAAAGCATTGTGGGGATTTTAAGACCGCGAAGTCTACTCATGTGCACACTCGATATTTCTCCAAACGGAGTACGCCGGGCTTGGTAGATTTCCAAGTATACTGGAGATTGGAACAGTACTTCGGCGGCACTCGATGACGTAGTATGCTTGAAATAGTGGCTCTGAAGCAGCTTTACTCGCGATTGAGAAACACCCAGAGTGTGTGTCCCTTTCGCTTTCTCTTCTCTTCTCGGGCTGCGACCCGACAGCATGTGCATTTCTGCTGCTCAATAAAGCCAGATTTGTACCTTCATTGCACCGCCTCCGACTCCCTTCTCTCGGCACTACAATAGTAAATAATAACAAACTCCAGTGTGGAATTCCATAATTCCATATTCATAAATAAAATGATATGCAAATAACATTTTCTTGGCTGTGGACTTGTACTCTACATAATTATGTTGAGCTCATGGTAATCTAATTCAATAAACAATAACTGCAATGAACAGATAGCATTTTGTGTATAATGATTGGATATGGTGTAATTTGGTAAATGATTCTGTGTTGAAAAATGTATATCTTTAAAAACTGCGTTAGTGTATTAGGGCGGGCCATACTATTTTTTTTTTGTAAATCGATCGAGAGGGGTGTTCAAATAACGTATTTTGGTGTGTAGAACACACATCTATTTAGATTTATTTATTTTGAAGTTGTTGCTATGGAAACAACATGACGGAGAAAAAAGTAAGATCTTCTACATATAATAACGGACAAAGTAAAGAATGAAGTGTATGTTAAAATGTTCGCATCCCCCGAAGAGGCTCAAGCTCTTACGTTGAGTCTGGAGTTTCAATACATTCGGAATTTGACCGTGTAAAATGTCCTCTTGGGTTACCGTACAGCCAATGCGTGACGTCATTGGTAAGCGTAACGGACCCCGAACACATCTGGTAGGCCGAACACATATGGTACCTACAACTGCTCTCTCTCTCTTTCTCTGTGTTCCTGAGAAAGTGTGTGTGAGCTCCAGCACTACTGATCCATCATCTGTGTGTCAGGATAAACCTCCGAATGGACTCTGTGCTCTTTTTTCTGGAGCGTTTACCTCGGACTATAGGAGCTAGTTTAGCATGCTAGCTGGAAACACGTTAGCAACACTAGTCAGATTGAGAGTTTGATGAAGAGAGAAACGGTGTGTTTAACGGAGTTTGCAGGAAAAAGTGATCTAGTAAACATGAGTAAAGTCCAAATGCTGCTGTCGTTGAAGAAGCAGCGACTCACTGCTGCTGCTGAAGAGATATTTGCTCTGTATGAAAAAACTATAGCAGAGCTCGAGGAGGAGCTGTCTCTTTCCAAAGAGGAGAACGAGAGACTCCAGAAACTACTGGACGCTGTTTTACAGCCTCAGCTTCGGATACACAGAGCAGGTCTGTGCCCTTTACTTTTTATTAACACTTTAAACTCTTTATTTACACTTTAAACTCTTCAGTCACACTTTATTATCACATGAATAACACTTTAGACTTTGTACTATCACTTTATACCCTTTATCAGCACCGTCTTGCTACAGGTAGTAGATCCTGAAGTAAAAGTACAAACACCACACTGTGAAATACTCCATTACAAGTTAAAGTACTGCATTCATATCTTATTTAAAGGTCCCATGTCATGGCCATTTCTACTGATCATAATTCCATTGTTGAGGTATACTAGAATAGATTTATATTGTGCAATTTTCCAAACTCACATTGGTTTCTCATACAGCATCTCTGTATAGAATGTGTATTCACTCTCTGTCCTAAATGGCTTGTTGGAGCTCTCCTTTTTGGGAGAATAAACCCCACAGATCCTCAACTCCGGTGTGTTTCACTCATTAACAACGCAACACAGAGCAACAAGAACGTTGTCTACAGTAGCCATGAACTCGCATGTATTATCTTATTTGATGGGGGGTAGTTGCGTGGACCATTGCCCGTCACACCCCCTGTCAACGCCTTTGAGGATACTCTTCATTCATCCCCCAGCTCTCTCTACTCTCCGCTCACCCTTTCACCCTCGCCCTCCCCCCTGGAGTTCGATGACCGCATGAAGGCGATACGCAGGGTTGGCAGCATGTCCTTTACCCCCGCCCCTCAACGACGCCCACCAAAATCACCGAAGACAAGGAATGGATTCCAGTCACCAAGCTGGGCCGCCTGGTTAAGGCAGGGACGCGCACCATCTCCCCCGTCTTCATCACCATGCCTACCATAATCATCCAAACCAAAACAATACAAGGAAGATGGAAGCAGATTTCCAAACCCCCCTTCCTACAGTGTAGCCCTCATCCTGCCCTCCTATGATGAGAGGAGCAGGGTGGTGGGTCCTCCCTCCCCTTCAAAGCCTGATAGGGATGTTTGTGTACAAAACGCTGCAAACTGATATTTGCTGGGTCCAGGCTCAAGGGCGTATGGCACTCT